GYTCAATCCTCAGCAGCACCACATAAAAATGAAATAAAGATATCGTGTCCACCTACAACTAAAAAAATTTTTTAAAGTTCTTTTCTAAAACTAATATTTTAAAAAAGTAATGTTTGTTAAACAGAATCATTGACATACTGAGAGTCTAGTCAGTATTTACTCAATTATCCAATATGCCATACACTTTCAAATCTTAGAGCCTTAACTCATATATTCAGTCAGGCTGATGGGCCCTTCCATCCCTACCACCACTTCCTACACACCAAATTACAACTGTTCTAACACTTCAAAGTCCAACTCAGTATGTCACTGAGTTCAGGAAGCTTACCCTGATCCTTCATCTTAACCACAAGCATCTTCTATACTTCTCTGTACGGAATAACATAATTCTGTTTGATTCATGGTGTTGAAAAAAATTAATTAAAGGTGATCTTTTAAAAATTAGGGGGGATAATATCTAAAATCCAGATGGCTTACTACTCTGTAAAAACAATATCACACTATAACCAGATTGTGGCAAAAAGCAGGAACTACAATGAGATCCCTCTCTTTGTGGCCTCAACCCTGAGGCAAGGTGTTATCATTTATTATTGTTCCTATAYTGCTTTTCTTACTCTTCCCACTTTACTCACTTAAAATGCATGCTTGGCTCCAGTCCCCATTTAAGGATTTACCCCGCTTATCTGCTTATGTATCATACCTCTAACCTAGAAATTTCTTGACAGCAATGATTTATTTCACCTTCTTTTTGTTTCTACACTCCTTCTTCTATACTTATCAACTATTTTCTGAATTTAGCAAATTATTAACCAATACAACAGCAAAACTAATTAACACATAATTATTACAAATGTTGCTACTTAAGCTTTAGTAATTGGTAGCACTGCTTCTTTACAATGTTCAAATTCACTTCAAAATTCAAAGATATTCTTTTTACATTCTGTATCACATTGGGACTCTTTTTGAAGGCAAGAAAAAGTAGGAAGCTGAGATACAAAAATAAAAAGATCATGTATTGAAGGCTTATAATGTGCCAGGGTCTGCAGCCTGTTGCCATATTTATAAAACACAAGCCAAAAATCCATCCATCTTTTAACCAGTCCCACAGTACTCTGTATTGGTGACACAACTCCTTAAGCAAGGTTAAAAACTTGTTAGTCCAGACATATGATTACTAAAAGCACATACTATATTGAGTTTCTAACCTTGATATTTAAAAGAAACAAGCAAAGCCAAAAAAACACTCCTAGGTCCCACCTTCAAATGTTTAATAGGCTAACACACTATGTTGAAAAGTAACAAAGTGTTATGTAACATTTAAATAATTACTTGCCCAGGAAAAATATATAGTACTGAACTCAATAACCTTACTACAATTACACACACACACACACCGCTGGAACCAACTTCCACAAGACAACCTTTTTTTCCCAGAGGAGCTGTAAGTAACCAATGGTCCATTAAGACACTGTAAGTTAACCAGGGTAATAGTCAACATTCCTTACTCGCTGGTATTGGCTGCCACATATCAATACAAGAGAGAACTCCTACAAGGCAGGGACCCATGCCCCACTTAGCTTTGTTTGCCCCAGCAGTACTAAGGTCTGCAAAATGCTCTACACAAACTGGGCAATACACAAGAAGTGTTGGATGCGGGCGGGGAGGGGGCAGATATGTGCTCAGGAAGGCATTTATAGAATTCCATAATGTAATTTGAAGCTTTTCTCTTTATTGTAACAAAGAGAATAAACATATATCTTAGTGGCAATATGTATCACCTTTAAATAACCAATTTATTGTTCAAATTTCATAATAAAGATAATAAAACCACCTGATTCACAGGGTCTTGAAAGGATTAAATCGAATGGTATATATAAAGTCTCCTAGTCGGGCATGGTGGCACAATCCTGTAATCCCAGTGACTCAGGAGGATCATAAGTTTAAAGTCAGCTTCSGCAACTTAGTGAGTCCCTAAGCAATTTAGTGAGACCCTGTCTCAATATTAAAAAAAACAAAAAAGGGCTGGGGATGTGGCTCAGTGGTTACACACCGCTGGGTTCAACCTCCAGTATCAATTTAAAAAATTAAAAATAAAGTTTCTGTAGGTCAATGGCTGGAACACTACACATATTACTTAAGAATTAGCTATTGAGATTACTTTTAAAAAAAAGTTATTATAATAAAAGAAAGACCCACAAAGCTAGAGCTGAAAAGGGATTAACTCAGGTGAGATAATTTCACTGTTGACAATCCTTTTTAGGGCCAGATTCTACTGTAAGTATTTTAGGCTTTGCAAGCCAAGATACAATATCCTCAACCCTTGGAGTAACTATTCGCCAATTTCACATTTTTAAACTGAAAAAGTATTCTTAGTTCATGGGTCGTTACAACAACTCACAGTCCTGGTTTGCCAACCCCCTGGATAAAATGATAATGATGGTTAATACAGTCCGTGCTTTTGTGAGTTGATTGAAAAACATGTTGCCTCAAACTTCCAAAATCCAGTCAGGCAGGACTTGTGAGGAATGGAGCCAGGACTTAAGGCCTCAAGAGCCAGCAAGAACCTCACAAGGCTCTCCAGGTCCGCCAAGCCCCCGCCCACACTTACTCCCAGCAGCGGCCCGCGACCGATCACCGTCTCCCCGGGCGCCAGGGCCACCCGGGGGCCGCCGTCCAGCGGCTGCAGCTCGAAGCCCCCAGACATGGCGGATTTAGTTAGGTCCCTTCGCAAGAACACGGGCCCCTGCAGCCGTTTCCGCCTTCCACAGACACGCGCGGGGCATGCCCAGGCCCCTGGAAAACAGAGGGGGAGGGAGAGGGGGAGCAAAGACTCAGCTCGGGAGAGCTCACTCCTTGAGGGKCAGGGGCCCCAGCGCCACTTCCGGAGTTCCGCCCTCCACCCGAACGAGTGACGCAATCAGGGATTCCCCCTTCAGGTCTTTCGAATTATTGTTTAAAAACCCCGGYTTCCCTACACCCCCATCCATTCTCACCGCCCACCAGGTTTGGAGGACGCCGGGCCTTGTAGTCCTTGGCGCCTTCCATTGCCTTCGTTCAAGAGCTGAGACGACATAGAAAAACTACCAATCCCAGGAGGCAATGCGCGCGCCTCTGCGCCTGTGCGAATTTGAGTCGGCAGGGCGGGGCTAGAGTGGGCGGGATGTGAAGGACGATGGGGAAGGATTCGAATCCCGGAGGATTTAAATTGCTGGAGGAGAATCCACCGCGGCCCAGTAGGTAGGAGGGTCTTCCCTTCGCGGACCTATAGGCTTGCACGCTCTGGGGCGACCCATGCGCAAACCCAGCCTTCCTTCAGTGGCTTGGAACCGAGGTGACAGTTTTGACAGTTGTTCATTTGTCAGTGCCAGGTGTTCTTGGGTTTCAGGCAGCTGCAGCTCACCCAGAGCACACAGGAGGGTGACTGGGATGAGACCCGAGGTCCCGACCGTGGTTTCCAGAAGGATGGAGGCTCTCCGAGAGCTAGTCTGAGCCCGACGTCCTACCAAACTGAAAAGCTTGATTCATGAAAGACAGAAAAGAAGTAGTTTTCCAGGCAACTAGTCAAAACTGAACTTGAAGAAAGATTCATAGAGAGATTTTAGGAACCTGGTCAAGGCACTTCCGACTGTCAATTTCAAAAACCTTCCTCCTCCTCCAGTGGAATTCTTCTGATGGGAGGAAGCGTTTTATTCCCCAGTGAGAACATTTAAATGCAGTGTAACATCCTCCTAATATGAGATTCTTTTCAAAAACATGGTGGTTTGGCTTTGGTTTGTATGGATGGTAGAAGGGGAGAATATGCGAAGATTCATTGCTCATGACTCATCGTCTTGTTTTGTCAATTTTCTCACTTCCCCAAAACCTCAAGACGAAGTCCTTTCCTGAACACAGGGGTTACAATTCTAACCACTACAAGTAATTTGTATCATAAACAGCCTAAAGTATGGGAGCCACTAGGGCAATTGCTATTAGCTGAGCTAAAAGAAGCATTCAGTTGTATCTTGAACCCCTTCTACTATACCCTAAAGCCCATTTTAAAATGAAGTTCAAAACGTTCTAAACTGATTTTAAGTAAATACAAGCTGTCTTTATATGTGAAGGTAGCTCAAGAATAGTAATTTCAGAACCTTTAAATCTGTAGTCACATAATCCAGCTGGCTGAATTATAAACATTGTTTATAGTTATTGCTCACTTGCTTGATGCTTTAGATACTATTATACTTCGCTCATAATTAACTATACCAGTAGGATATCTTTAAGAGGTCATCTCTAAAACACTAGTTTGAATTAAATATTTGAGACTTTGTGTCATTATGACCAGGATCTCATTCTCTGGTCCATTTCCTTTAGTATTTGTGTCAAATTGAGCCCCTACCCACTAGGTGCAAGTAGAAAAACAATTCTTATATGAATTACTAAAAAGAATCTTTCTTATGATTAAGTCACAAATTATAGATGAAGAACTTAATGGCAAGACATCAGTTCTTACAAACAAGTATTATTACTTGGGTTTGATAGAATTGACTCATACTCATTTTTAAAAGTACTTTTAGTAAATACTTGAATGTGTTCTCTCAGTAATTATAAACTCAATAAATATGGTCTGACATGGAGAATCATTTCCCCTTTTGGACAGTGTTCTTTGAGAACAAAACAACAAACAAAAAAACAAACAAAACAAAACATTTAGAAACAACCCCATTATTAAAAATATTCCATAAAGAAGGTAACCAAAATGTTGAGTGCCTCCCATGTGTGATTCAGATGTGAGGCTATTTTATAAATTATCCCTGTCAATCTTTGTGAACCACATGAAAAGCAGCATTGGCCCTATTTTACAGATTGAGAAGCTTAAGTAAAGAAGAGTTAACATTCTTTAATCATACCCCAAAAGTTATCTCATTCTGAGTAGGATTTGTAGTCTTATCTGAAGAGACTGAATATGTTTAAACTTTGCCTTTTAGGTTACAAATGAAGATAATTTAATAAAACATCACGCTATGCAGAAAAATTCCAAGAGAAACAATAATTTGAGAGTTTCTGACATAGAATTGAACTCTGTGGATGCTGAGAAGGCAATAAACGAGAGTCAAAATAACTTTGTTGAACTGCTGCCTCTAGAAGTCACTTTTAAAATTTTCAGTCAGCTGGACATTCAGAGTTTGTGCAGAGCTTCTGTGACATGTAGGAGCTGGAATTACACAATAAGAAACAGTGACTCTTTATGGAAGCCCCACTGCTTGACTGTAAGAGCTGTGTGCCAAAGAGAAATAGATGACGACCTAGAAAATGGTTATTCCTGGAGGGTAAGTTTACCCTTTCCTGTTCACAGTGCTTTTGACAGTATTATGGTGGTAGGTTTGGAAATGGTAGGATTACATATGCAGAATAATGTACAGAGTGTGAGGATTTGGGGAAATGAGTTAAAGTTGAGTTATTATTATTTTCCTGCTAAATACACTGACTCCACACTATCTCYCACCCTTTCATATTTTCAGCTCCTAAATTCAGGAACTTTCCTGTTAGCCATTTCAGTCTCCTTATCCAAAATGTCCAGTAAACTCWGTGGCTCAGTCTCTGTGTACACACATATACATAAACACATGCACACATTCATGTGCATACACATGAATGTATTAACATGTATATCAATGTAAGAACCTAATATTCTCAGCCCTGTGAGTCAGCTTCTCTAGTTTGAACAAATTCACTAACCAACCACTTCCTACATTCTTTTTGAACGATGATGGTTTACCCCTTTCAGGTAATACTTCTGAGGAATTACCAGAAGAGTAAAGTAAAGCATGAATGGCTAAGTGGCAGATACAGCAACATACGTTCTCCCATTAGCCTCCCAGAAAAAATTATGTGCCCGATGGATGCAGATACATGGGGAGAAATTCTAGAAGCAGAACTGGAAAGATAAGTAGAAAAAAGTACAGTCAGATCTTGTGACTTTGACATTTCAAAATGTCTGTACTTATAAAAGTTCTGTTGATATTTTTATATACCTTTTTAATATTTAACATTTAAAAGTAAAACTTTATTTTTGTTTTACACTTTAGTAAAAAATATTTTTTGCTTTTATTGTAATGTGAAAAAATCATGAACTATTTTATGTAAGAAATAATATACTGATAGAATGATTTCAAATGTATTGTTTAATGTATTTGTGTTGGTATTTAGTAAGACTTTAAATGATAAGAGTTTGATTGGTATTTGTGTTTTCTGTTTAATGATAATTCAAAAATTTAGGAAGCAACTTGGAAAAACTAACTTAAACAATAGACATAAATAAACTTGTTGGAGGACTRCATGAAAATAATAGCAATATATTTAAATGAATAATAAACTCACATTTCAATAACTTTAAATTTTCCATTCCAGTGGAATCAAATTGAATTATCAAATTGTTAAATGTTAAACCTATGGTTTAGTTTAAAATCAATCTGATTTTAGGGCTAAAGCTCATCAGATTAAGATTTCCATTACTTTCCTACAAACCTGAGATTATTCTCAGTGGCTGAAAATGTGTGGAAAGTTTCCAAAGCACAAATACCATCAGAACTGCTATATAATATATAGTCTAGTAAAACTTCTGWTGGCCTTAGAGCACCATCTAGTGTATTATTCATTGGTATAAAGACAAAGGACTTTCAGCTCCTTTTTGTTTTCTCCATATTTAAAAGAAAATCTAAATTATTCTAAAGAATCCTTGACACTTGACTTTGTTAAAGTTTACAACTTTCAAAGAACCTTTATTTCAACTTTTATTTCTCTTTTTTGCAAGAGCAGATGATATAATATTCCATCATAGTGTTCATTATGAATCGGGTCACCACCATGTTAAAAAGTATTTACAAAACATTTTAGTTGGTGTGGGGTTTTCTTCTTTAAGTGTTCTCTATGGCACAAAAATAAGAATCCAGAAAACTAGAATTCAACCAGTAGGCAACTATAAGAAAGAAGCCTATACACTCTATACAAATTGCCATTGTTGGATCAAGCAGAAAATAAGTGATAATCTTCTACTTATCTTTTTAGAGTTGGAAAAGGCCTTGAAAATCAGGCAGTTCAGTTTCCAGGGCTGTACAATAATTTCCTCCTTCAAACCCTGTCAGTCAGCAAACCCAAGTTCAAATACTTCTTATAGGATCCCCACTATGTGACAGAACAGTCCTATTGTATGCTAGGATAACTCTGATCAATATCAGTTTGTCCTCATTGAACTGAAGACCACCTCTCTGTAACATTTGCATATTAGTTCAATCATTCTTTGATTGCCACTGCTAACCTGTCTCTTCCTATGTCTTCTCCACAACTTATGCTATTCATAGAGCATAATTCCTAGACCCAGCAGTCTTCTCTTCTGCCCATGTAATTGGAAAGGAAGAGACCCTACTAATTTTATTTAATAAGAGATAATAAGAAAGCACTTTGAAATTATTGGAAAAATTAAAGCTTTAAAGCATTTTATGAATAGCATCTGTGTACAATAGCATATGGACACATATAGTAGTATCATCTTTTGTAATGGATGTGAACTCTTGTCTTTGCCCAACCCTTTCACCATCTATTGCCTTCCTCTATTAATAGAGATCACCCTAATTAGGGAAATTGTCCTTCTCACTTCTTCCCCATGCTATTATTTACAGTGTCCTGTCTCCCCTACCTCTGTGTGAGTCTAGGGATAGAAACATAACCCAAACCACGCTCTTCCATGAGTCAGAGGAGAAAATCCATTTCCTCTTTACTGTTGAAATGGTCCCCTGCCACACAAAAACAGATTATCATAAGAGAATATGGAGACAACAGGAAAGAGAAACAGGAGAGGTGTATTTGCATCTGGGACCCTGGTTTTAGTCATTCCCTGTCTGCTTACCTAAACTAACACAAATTGAGTTTCAGCCTTTGCACTAAAATCCTTACCTGATGTAATTTCCTTTGTCTATTTGTCTAGGGGGTGATAGTTGTGGTTTACGTAAGTCTGTTTTTAAGATATCAAACCTTGATTTGTCCATAGTGCTTCTAATTTTATGTCCTGAAAACACTTCTTTGACTCTTACTTCCTCATCAGTCATTCATTGCTCAATCTGCTGTAAACTGACCTTCACTCCACATGATTAAAACTATCCAAGTTACAAATGACTTAATTGATGAATTCATTGAATGCATTTTGGTTGTTCAAGTATTTGACACCCATAAACATTCAGTTCTTATAACTTCTAGGTTTGGGGCTAGAAYCTCTTGGATTTTTTCTTTGCTTATTCTAACCAGTCTTTTCAGTCTTCTTTCAAAGACTTACTTTCTTTCTGCTACTTACTACATGTTGATGTTTCTTAAGGAACATCCTAGATAATCCCACCCACTCCTCCAGCATCAACTATGGCCATCATTGGTGCTGATGATGTTCACACCCAGGACACAGATAGGCTCCAGACACCTGAATCAGAACTCATTCTCTCGCAGAAATAATTGTTCTTCAGCCCAGACCTCAGTGAATGATGGGCTTTGTTCAGTAGTTACCATATTTTACTCTTCTCCAACATTCACCATGTTCAAGCAGAAGTCAAGGTTTAGTGATATTATCATCCTAATACTAGGCATTTCAATCCTTCACCATATTTATCTCTGCTTCATTACTTAATTCTGATCCTTATCTGAAGTTGGGATTACTTTAATAACCTCTTAACTGGTGTACCTGCCTCCAGTTCTTTCCTCACCAGTATAATCTTTCTAAGTCCCCAAATTATAATATGACCTAACTTAAATACTTTGATGCATTCAGGTAAAGGTCAAAATTCCCTGGCAAAGTTTGTACAGTTTCTAATGATGTGGTCTGACCTGTATCTAGCCTCTTATCACATCACTATTCCATCCCATAACTTTTCAGTTCAGTGACATCAAGCTATGCAGTTCTCTGAACATGTAAATTCCCTAGATTTTCTGCCTTTTGCACAGGCTGTTTGATATATCTATAAACTTCTTCCTTTCATCCTCCATGAATTCTTTTCTTGGCAAAATCTTTTGTAGAACTCATCACCTTAGCCTGGAAACCGTCCTACCTACTACCATTCTGGATTAAGTGACCCTTTTTTTTTTTTTTTTTTTTAAGTGACCCTTTTAAGGCTTCTGTATTTCTTTGTTTATACCACACTCAAAGCTGTCATACTGTACTAAATTTTATATTTTCTTTTTCTGTCTCTTTAGACTGTGATTCTTAATGGCAGGGACCATTTTTAATTTATTCTTTTGTATTCCACAAGGTAGTACTCCATAGATTTGTTAAATTATTTCTATAGTTTATTTATTTTAATTCTATTCAAAATAATAAAATTCTTTATTGTAAGTAATTTAAAATCTACATTGTTATAGTAACAAATTTACTATATTGTTAATGGAYAAGATTGCATTGAATTGCAAGTACAATGCTCAAGACATAGGAGATGTTTGATATTAATGCTACCAAAGGAATAAGTGTTCTATTCTTCTATAAAGATGTAAGAGAAAAGTAGAAGTGTTTTGTTATTTTTTTAATAAACACTTGAAAATAAACTGAGCCTCAAAAGTACCACTTATCATTTTATGTTACTGGGTCACCTCAATCRATTTTATGTATTACTTTGCAAGTTAAATGAATAAACTTTAGTTTGGTTTTTATACTACTATTGCATTAAAACAATTCGTATAATAAGTTATAAGCTATGATCACAGTTTATACCAAAAGGAAAACTTTGGAACTTGTTGATTAGTTGTATGTTATGGACTTAAACCCTGCATTTATCAGAGCAAGCCATTAGCATCTGAGAATGTGAGTGGGTGGAGCAGAATGCAAGGAAGGCGCACTCGTACTCATAGATAAAGTCATGTGTTAAGTTTACCCAGTGTGTAAAAGAAGTAAGATTATTGGAAAGAGTGTTAAGGAATTTCGAGTGTTTTTTATTTTTACAGTTAAAGATTCAGTATTTTATTTTTTAATATTATTTTAGTCATACATGCACACAATATCTTTATTTTGTTGTTTTTATGTGGTGCTRATTGAACCCAGTGCCTCACATGTGTGAGGCAAGTGCTCTGCCTCTGAGCCACAACCCCAGCCCAGTATTTTATTTTTTTAATATGACAGCAGATGCATTACAATTCATATTACACATATGGAGCACAATTTTTCATATCTCTGTACAAAAAGTATATTCACACCATTTGTGTCTTCATACATGTACTTAGGGTAATGATGTCCATATCATTCCACTGTATTTTCTACCCCCATGCACACTCCCTTTTCCTCTCACCCCTTTACTCTATCTAGAGTTTGTCTAATCCTCCCATGCTCCCTCTCCCAACCTCACTATGAATCAGCCTCCTTATATATCAGAGAAACCATTTGGCATTTGGTTTTTGGGGATTGGCTAACTTCACTCAGCAATATATTCTCTAACTTCATCCATTTACCTGCAAATGCCATGATTTTATTCTCTTTTATTGCTGAATAATATTCCATTGTGTATACCACATTTTCTTTATCCATTCATCTACTGAAGGGTATCTAGTCTGGTTCCACAATTTAGCCATTGTGAATTGTGCAGCTGTAAACATCGATGTGGCTATGTCCCTGTAGTATGCTGTTTTTAAGTCCTTTGGGTATAAGCCGAGGAGTGGGATAGCTGGATCAAATGGTGGTTCTATTCCCAGTTTTCCAAGGAATCTCCATACTGCTTTCCATATTGGCTGCACCAATTTGCAGTCCACCAGCAATGTATGAGTGTACCTTTTCCCTCACATCCTCACCAACACTTATTGTTGCTTGTATTCTTGGTAATTGCCATTCAGACTGAAGCAAGATGAAATCTTAGTTTTGATTTGCATTTCTCTAATTGCTAGAGATGTTGAACATTTTTTCATATATTACTTGATTGATTATATATC